TTTTTACCGCAGTGCACGTGCACCGCGGTCTATGATATAACGACTATACTAATTATAGGGAAAGTGTTTCAGTTGGGCCTTTCATTGTCCCTTGATCCCTTTTGGGCTACTTTATGGCAAATTATGCTGTGCATCATGGTGCACACATATGCAAAAATGACATCGTTTTGACTAAAAACGCGCGTCCAATTTAAAAAAAATAATTCAGTTTTGATTCCCATCAACAACATTATGTTGTGCATAATTTCTGAATGTATAGTTATGAAATTATGGATGTATAGTTATGCAATTCTAGATTTATAGTTATGAAATTATGGATGTGTAGTTATGAAGTTATGCAATTCTGGATTTATAGTTATGAAGTTATGCAATTCTGGATTTATAGTTATGAAGTTATGGATGTGTAGTTATGCAATTATGGATGTATAGTAATGAAGTTATGGATGTGTAGTTATGCAATTCTGGATGTATAGTTCTGCAATTCGGATGTATATTTATGCAAACAAAATACACATAAATTATTAACAGAATACAAATAAAATCTGAACATACAAAACGACGTCGTTTTGGATAGGGCGCACAATGCATTGTGCGCCCTGGTGCACGATATAACCGATGTAACGATTGCTATGAGTTGTTATACCATGGGCCAATGTTTACCTTGCAAGATGGACCCTGGTCTTAAACGACCTATAAATTGTGTATTTATAGTATGAAAACGTGAACTTCTAAAATATAAATTGTGTTTCTAAGTAAAAAAACTTAACAACTATAGAAGGAATTTTTTTAATACAATACAAAATTATCAAATCGTGATATGTTTAATATTGTGTGTTCGTAGTATGCAAATTGTAAATTTTTAAAAGATAATTGTGAATATTTAGTATGTAAATTGTGTAGCTAAGTCAGAACAACATCAACATTCAAAATTGTTTAAAAAAATAAAAGTAATTTTTTTTAAAAGTAAGATGGCAATCGTTTGGTAGGAAAACGACGCCGTTTTGGACCCAAGTCCACATTGTAAGGTGGACTCAGGTTCATAGAATAATTTGCATGAACTATGATCCATACATGGTGATAGAATAATTATAGAGCAGACCTGGAGCGAAGAAATATGGAGCGGATCACCCCCGGCACCGAGTGGACTACGCACGCGGCCGAACAGACCATGGAGGGGTCTGCCTCCCCGGGGTCCTCAACTACTACCACGGGGTCCTCGGCTACTATCACGGGGTCCCCGGCTACTATCATGGGGTCCCCGGCTACTGTGCACACGGAGTGACGAACCACCCCGGGGTCGGCCAACATGGGCTCGGCACCCCGGGGTCGGCCTACGTAGGCCTGGCCACCACGGGGTCGACCGACGCACCCCAGGTCGGCCACCCTTTGGGGTCGGCTCAGCCGGGACGGGGTCCCCGCGTTGTCCGAGTCGTGCGGTGGCAGTTGCGACTCCTCCCGCGTACCCCGGGCCACACTTTGGACCTGGTCCTGAGCTAGGACGCGGTCAAAGCGTCAGATCCAACCATCCCCCGTTTTAGGGGGTGCGGTTAGAGGGTTGTAGCATATAAAAACCCCTCCCCTTGTCCTAACAAGGGACACTTGATTCCTATCTCATACTTTTCCTACAACATTTGTCTTGTTATTACACGTCCCGAACCTCTGTAATATCATTTTGTGTTCGATTAATACAATATTTACCGTTTTATTATTCGTTCGTCATCTTCAACATATATTCAGGTTGTATAATCTGGACCCCAGGTTCATATAATCCATCATTTTGGGGTTGGTACGCGAGGTCGGTCCTCGTACTGTCGCTAGGGTATCTAGATTACGTTACGCCCATTCGGCGATAGGCGAGGTCGGACCTCGTACCGCCCCTAGAACGTCTTAGCGATTCTTGGGTTGGAGCCTTTTGACTCGCATCTCGAATCCTTCCGTTCGGTGATAGGCGAGGTCGGACCTCGTACCTCCCCTAGGGTATTTAGATTGCGTTACGCTTGTTCGGCGATAGGCGAGGTCGGACCTCGTACCGCCCCTAGAACGTCTTAGCGATTCCGGGGTTGGAGTCATTTGACTCGCGCCCCGAACCCTTCCATTCAGCGATAGGCGAGGTCGGACCTCGTACCGCCCCTAGGGTGTTAAGATTGCGTTACGCCCGTTCGGCGGTAGGCGAAGCCGGACCTCGTACCGCCCCTAGGACGTTTTAGCGATTCTGGGATGGAGTCCTTTGACTCGAGCCCCCAACCTTTCCGTTCGGCGATAGGCGAGGCCGGACCTTGTACCACCCCTAGGGCATGTGCTACGTCTATGTTGGCCGTTGCGGTCCCCGTGTACGTAGCCGCCACGTCCGGCCGACCCGGTATGGCCGTCCTCAGGTCGGCCGACCTCGCGCCGGCCGACCTAGCGTTGGCCGACCCTGGGGAGGCCGACCCCGCGGTGCCCAAGTACCTGATCTCGCATGTGCCTGTGCTCTTCCACTATTCGGGATAGAATAATTGCTCAACGAAATTATTCCATTACGAACGAAAACAAAACATTATTGTGGGGAGTCGGCCTGTTATTGGGGAGGGGGTAGGCCCTACAAATGTGTTTCTACTGGTAAAATTTCAGCAAGTGTTCCGAGTTGCACACCCGGTCCACCGTCTTGCCCGATGGAATCCTCAACTTGTAGCTGCCCGGGCGTACTATGGCTTCGACCACATATGGTCCTTCCCATTTCTTGGCAAACTTGCCTCCGTCCTGGGGTCGGCTTGCTTCCCTCATCCGGAGGACGTAATCGCCGACTTGAAAGTAGCGAGGCCGGACCCTGTTGTCGTGGTATGCCTTTGTCTGGCGCTGGCAATTTTCCGCGCGAACCATGGCATCCTCCCTTCTGTCATCGATAAGGTGGAGGTCGGCGGCGTGGTGCTCCTCATTGAGGTCGGGGTCGTAAACTGCGACCCGATAGGATGGTATCGCGGCCTCGGTGGGGGCCCGCGCTTCGAACCCGTATGCTAACGCAAACGGAGTTTCCCTGGTGGCTCTTCTTGGGGTGGTGCGGTACGCCCGTAGGACAGTGTTCAACTCCTCCACCCATGTACCTCTGGCTGCGTCCAGGTTCTTCTTGATGCCTTCCACTATAGTTCTGTTGGCGTTCTCCACCTGTCCATTTGCCTGCGGGTACGCCACCGCCACACGGGTGTGTTTTATGTACCATTGGTCGCAGAACTCCTTGAACTCTTTGCTCTCAAACTGGCGCCCGTTGTCGGAGATGATTTGCATGGGGACCCCAAAGCGGTATAGAATGTTCCTCCATACGAACTCCGTGCACGGGGTGCTTGTGATGGTGGCGAGGGGCTCGGCTTTGACCCACTTTGTAAAATAGTCTATGGCGACTATTATGTACTTCCTCTTTGCGGACCCCATAGGTAAGGCCCCGACTATGTCGATTCCCCACCTTGAGAATGTGATCACCGTGCTGATAGGCGTGCAGCTGGTTACTGGCCGACCCAGCTCCGCGTGAAAGTGCTGGCAGGTCGGGCACTCCCAGGCGTACTCTGCGCGCCCCTTGGCCATATTTGGCCAAAATTACCCTTGCGATAGGGCCCTCCTCGCCATGACGAAGGCTCCTTGGTGTGCCGCGCAGGTGCCCTCATGTATCTCTTTCTTGACGGACTTGGCTTCGTCTAGGTACAAACACCGGAGGAGGGCGGCGTTATAGGACCTTTTGTAAAGGGTGTCGCCAAGGAGGACATATGGTGGTGACCTCCTCTTGACTGCCTTAGCGGCCACCTCGTCTGCTGGCTGGGTGCCCGTTCTCTTGTACTCCACCAGGTGGTCTAACCAGCATGGGGCCGAGTTTGTATGGGGAGGGCTGGGTAGGCCTCCAGGGTGGACCTCTGGAGGTCTTCAATCCGTGCTATCTTAAAGACATGCTCCGGGGTGCCGAGGCCGAGCTTGGAGAGCAAGTCCGCGCCCCCGTTTTGACTTCGGGGTACCTCGATCAAGACGGCTATGTGGAGGTCTCCGTACTTTTCACGATTATGTCGTCAACGTAAGCTTGCAGGTTCTGGCCGTGGACCTTCTTGAATACCTTGGCCACCATTCTTGTATACGTGGCTCCCGAGTTCTTGAGCCCGTAGGCCATGACCCGGTTGCAAAGGACCCCTTCGGGGGTGGTGAACGCTGTCTTTTCTTCGTCATCCTCGTGCATGAAGATTTGGTGGTACCCCTGGAAGGCGTCTAGGAAGCTCATGAGCGCACATCTCGTCGTCTCGTCCACCAGCTGGTCTCTGTTGGGTAGCGAGACGGGGTCCATGGGGCATGCCTTGTTGAGGTTCGTGTAGTCCACACACATCCTCCACGTAGGTGGTTTAGGTGCGAGGACTACGTTCTCGAGGAGGGTGTTGACATCCTTCTTCACAAATTCTTGTCTGTCCGCGGCGAGGTAGCGCTTCCGCTGTTGGACCGGCTTGGCTTTGGGGTCCACCGCCAGTTTGTGCGTGATGACCTCCCGACTGAGGGTCGGCATGTCCTCGGGACCCCAGGCGAACACGTCTTTGTATCGGCCGAGGATGATGTTATGGGCGCAGCTGATTTTTACCACCACGAACTCGACCTCCCACCTTTTAACGTGCGGCAGGGTGCCGATCTGCACCTCGAGGGTGATGGAGCCCTCTGTTTCAATGGATTCCCCGGTGACACCGGATAACGCGGTCCATACCTGGGAAAGCTGCTTCCGGGACAGTCCGAGTTGCGTGAAGGTGTCATAATACATGACGTTCACGGAGATCACCGTATCCACCAGTACACCGTGGACAATGATGTCTTTGATCTCCAGCCTGATTACCAACGCATCTCGGTGGGGCAGGGGGCCATCCGGGAGGTCGTCGTCGGTGAACGTTATGGGCTCCCGGTGTGTCCTCTTTTCGTGGGGTACCCGGCCGACCTCCCCCACCTATAGACTCCGCGCCCACCTCCTCCTCTCGGCGGGCATGTCTCCACCCTCAGGGCCGCCGAAGATGATGTGGATGACTTTCTTCTTTGGTGGGCTGTCCGGGTCGGTCTCCTTGTCCTCGGTGAGTTGGCCGAGTTCCCTCTTGCGCGGGGCAGATGCGGATGGTCCGGCACCGCCCTTCTTCTTCCGGGTGTTGGCGGGGCCTTTGGCGGGGTCCTGCCCTGTCCTCTTCACGTATTGGCCTAGGTACCCCACTGGATGGGCTCCTCAATCTGTCTCTTGTGGACCATACACTTGTCCGTGTTTTGCCCGCGCTGCCGATGGAAACGGCAGTACTTCTTCGGGTTGGCCTTGGGGGAGACCTTCAAGCACTCCTCGGGGAACGACACGATGCCCATGTCCTCCGCGTGGTCCAGGATGACGATCACGGGCTGTGCAAGCGGGGTCAGGTGTCGCAGAGGGGCTAGACGAGGACCCCCATGACGGCGTGACCGTGATGGGCGACGATCCTCTTGAGGTTGAGGTGCCTTGTCACTCCGGCCCCGCCCCTTCTCCTCCTCTTTCTTCCTCTACTTGTCTCTCGGATGGTCGCGGTGAGTTGAATTCCCCATCAGCCGGCATCGCGGGCGCGTGAGTGCTGGGACCACCGTGCTCCTCGGAGGGGGCGGAGGTGGTGGTGCCAGGGCACCCCGTCGCAGCCTCGCCGCGACGCGGTCGCCGCCTGCTCGAGCGCGGCGGCCTATTCCTGGGGAGTCGGAATCGGGGATGAGACAGGCGGCGCCGACCCATTGAGCGGGCGATTGTGGGTGAGCCGACCCCGGAGGTCCTTCGCTGTCCCCCGCCGGTTCTCGTTGATCTGATCTCTGAGGTCCCCTCCCGTGGTCCCGTTGGGGTGGTTGGCGAGGGAGAGGTCGCGGGTATTGCGTGATCCCTGCGAGTTGTGGATATTCGACCCGGATCTTGTCATCGCTATGGATGAATGATAGTAGGGAGAGCGCTTAAGCTTGTACAGCCGCTCTCAACAAGAGCACCAATGATGGATTATATGAACCCGGGGGTCCGGATTATACAACCCGAATATATGTTGAATATGACGAACGAATAATAAAACGGTAAATATTGTATTAATCAGAAACAAAATGATATTACAGAGGTTCGGGACGTGTAATAACAGGACAAATGTTGTAGGAAAAGTATGAGATAGGAATCGAGTGTCCCTTGTTAGGACAAGCGGAGGGGTTTTTATATGCTACAACCCTCTAACCGCTCCCCCTAAACCGGGGGATGGTTGGATCTGGCGCTATGACCACGTCCTAGCTCAAGACCGGGTCCAAAGCGTGGCCCGGGGTACGCGGGAGGAGTCGCAACTGCCACCACACGACTCGGACAACGCGAGGACCCCGTCCCGACCGAGCCGACCCCCCAAAGGTCTCCACCGCATGCTCGGCGAGGTGGGCCTTCATATCCTTGATGAACACCTCGGAGTCCTTGTAGCTTGACAGGGCTGCCTTCAGAGCCCACCTCGGAGTCCTTGTAGCTCGACACGGCTGCCTTCGAAGCCTTCTCATGCGCCCGGCGCTCCCGCACATGGCTGGCAATCAACTCGGCATACTTGCCCTCCAACACCGCAGGCTTGCTCCCCATGGCCTTGTGCGCCGCCTCCAACTCTCTGCGACCCCCCATCTCGGCCCCCAGCTGAGCTTGAAGGGTCTCCAACACGTTCTTCCGTGGACGCCGCTCGGGCGACAACTTGCACAACAGCAAGCATGGACGAAGGATGAAGCGTTAAAACACGAGGGGGGTCCGTAATTATCAAGTGGCTTTGGTACTCTCTCGGGCTGACGACTTCTCGCAGCCCCGAGAGTGGGGGACTAATGATAGAATAATTACGGGGTGGACCTGGAGCGAAGAAATATGGAGCGGATCACACCCGGCACCGAGTGGACTACGCACGCGGCCGGACAGACCATGAAGGGGTTTGCCTCCCCGTGGTCCTCAACTACTACCACGGGGTCCTCGACTACTATCACGGGGTCCCCGGCTACTATCACGGGATCCCCGGCTACTATCATGGGGTCCCCGGCTACTGTGCACACGGAGTGACAAACCACCCCGGGGTCGGCCAACATGGGCTCGGCACCCCAGGGTCGGCCTACGTAGGGCCGGCTACCACGGGGTCGGCCGGCGCACCCCGGGTCGGCCACCCTTTGGGGTCGGCTCGGCCGGGACGGGGTCCCCGCGTTATCCGAGTCGTGCGATGGCAGTTGCGACTCCTCCCGCGTACCCCGGGCCACGCTTTGGACCCGGTCCTGAGCTAGGACGCGGTCAAAGCGCCAGATCCAACCATCCCCCGGTTTAGGGGGAGCGGTTAGAGGGTTGTAGCATATAAAAACCCCTCCCCTTGTCCTAACAAGGGACACTTGATTCCTATCTCATACTTTTCCTACAACATTTGTCTTGTTATTACACGTCCCGAACCTCTGTAATATCATTTTGTGTCCGATTAATACAATATTTACCATTTTATTATTCGTTCGTCATATTCAACATATATTCGGGTTGTATAATCCGGACCCCCGGGTTCATATAATCCATCACATGGCAATTTATATCCTGCACCAGGGCGCGCATTGCATTGTGCGCCCTAAAGCAAAACGACGTCGTTTCAGAATTTTTTTTTTTTTTTTTTTTTGAAATTTCACTACCCTGTGTTGGTGGTTAATTTTCTTTAAAAAAAATCTCATGTTAAAAAATGTACATAATTTTATACTAGAATATACATAATTGTATACATGAATGTAAATAATTGTATAACAAAATACACATACTTTTTTCTTTTTAAAGATAATACATATAATCTAACATACTCCGTAATACAAAATATACATAAACTTTTAATATAATAAACATCAACTCTTAACATAATACACATAAATTTCCTGTTTCGGATGTACATAATTGTATAAAAAAAAGATGTACATGATTGTATAAAAAATGTACATAATTGTATAAATAAATACACATAATTGTATAAAAAATACACATAATTGTATAAACAAATACACATAATTGTATAAAAAATACACATAATTATATAAACAAATACACAATAATCACGTCAACTCCCTACATAACTTACCAAAACGACGTCGTTTTGGGAGACGCGGGATGCACAGTGCTGTGCGCGCCGTGGTGCAGGGTATAATGATCCTCCATATAGTTGTGTGGATCACAAATAAAAGAGTTAATTCCAGCATTAGTCCTCCGACTATCATGATTTTCCATAAGAGAAAACTTCAATTTTGGTCATATGACTATAGGGGCTTTGTTAATTTCAGCACCAGACTTTCAAAATTGTCAATTTAGTAGCTTGACTATGCAACTTTTATCAATTTTGGTCACTCCGGTCAAATTGCCGGCCAAATTTCACCAGAAGATGTTAACAGTTAAAATAATGAGGGTATTTTAGTCATTTCACATCTCTTCCTTCTTCTCCGGCGAATTCATTTTTTCTCGCGAATCCGTCGCAGCAGCACACCTTCCAAAGCATACTTAAACTCATTCGTTCAAACCGTCGCCAGCGATTTATTAGTGTTCAGATGGCCAAAATTCCGGTTGAAAACATTTGACTGTTTGTGTAAGGGGAGCTTGAGATATCGGCGGCCCTAGAAATCTTCGAACTACACTTCTCTTTGTGCTTGTCCAGCGCATTTCCTGCCAAAATTCCGGTTGAAAGCTTTTCTGGCCAAAAAAAGGCTTGCTCGGAGAAGAAAGCGAAATGCTAAAACTGATGCTGGTACCTATATATTCTAAAATTTCTCTATATCAACATTATGCTAAAATTGATGTTGAATAAATACTTCTCTTTTTGGATAATGTTGAAAGCATCGCAGCTCACCTCATCCTCGGATTCACCGGAAAAGATGAATTCGTCAGAGAAGAATGAAAGAGATGTGAAATGACTAAAATATCCTCATTATTTTAACTATTAAAATTTTCCGACGAAATTTGGCCGACAATTTGACCGAAGTGACCAAAATTGATAAAAATTGCATAGTCAAGGCACTAATTGGGAGAAAACTCTCTGTATCCTTCGCGCATGCAGTCCGATCACGATCTCTGACGGTGATCGTCTCCGATCGTGCTTCTTGAACGTGGCCCTCTCTCCTAGTTGTGCCTAGGGGAGTTTCTCCCTAATGTATCTAGCGCTCGTGTATAAATGGCGTTGGTTTATGTACATCATCAAGGTGAGCGATCTGTGTGTGACTTTTACACTGTGCGATTTGCGCTTTCTCTCGTGATCTGTTTTTGGATAGCGTGTTTCGACTCCGGTAATATGGCAGTGCGACCGACCCCGACTCTTAGCCTTATTGAGGATAAGTGGGCTGATCTGTCCCTGGCTGATGAAGAATGCGGCGGCTTAACGGCGCCGGATACCCAGGTTGTCGACGAGGGTACATCACAATGGGAATTGGTGGGGCGCTTCCTCACCGATCGGGCGATTAAATTCGAACATATGCAGCAGGTGATGGCATCGGTCTGGAGGCCAGTCATGGGTATGCATGTCGACCTGCTAGATGAGAATCTGTTTCTATTCCATTTCCCTCACCCTAAGGACATGCAACGTGTTCTCGACGACGGTCCGTGGTCGTACGAGAACAACCTATTGGTCTGTGCGCAGATCAAGCCAGGGATGCGGCTGGACGAGGTGGATCTTAACCATATCCCTTTTTGGGTCCAAGCTCATGGTCTGCCAGCGGTTTATGCATCGCAGGATTTCATCACCATGATCGGGGATCATGTGGGCACTTTCATGTTGATGGATCATAATAACTTTGGGGGCTCATGGAGAAGCTACTTCAGGATCCATGTAATGTTAGACGTGAATCTTCCGCTCAAAAGGAGGATGAAGTTGCTCCACAGGGACGGTACATCCCAATGGATCACGCTCAGGTATGAGAGGCCCAATCTCTTTTGTTTCTGCTGTGGAATTCTGGGGCATACAGAAAAGTTCTGTTAAAAAATGTATAAGGAGGGGATAGAGCTGGAGGCATTTCCGTTTGGGGCTT